GGTCCCGGCGGGACTGGAGGAGCCCAGGAGGCTGAGGGCCTCGCAGGTCGGGGTGTCCACCGTCGGGACGGACACCTCCTGCGGGGGCTCCGGGGTGGGGAGGGGAGCCAGGACACCTGGGTTCTATTCCTGGCTCTAACCACTAGACCCCCCCCACTCCCCTTGCAGAGCCAGGGATAGAACCCAGGAGTCCTGGCTCCCAGCCCCCCACTCCCACCCCAGCTCTAACCCTTAGATTCCACTGGCTTCCCGGAGAACCCAGGCGTCCGGACTCACCTCCTTGGCAAACGTCCCCCCAGCCGGTGCCCCAGCACCCGGTGCCTGGGGGGGAATCGGACCCCGGCGTCCGGGGGGGCAGACGGGCCGCACGCTGGGGGTGAGGTTGGCGGGGGTCTGGAGCTGCAGCAGTGTTCCCACTGGCTCGGAAGACGGCGTTGCAGGGGTGGGGGCAATTCGGCTCACAGGCCGACAGCGTGTGGGCCCCCAGGAGGACTGTGTGCAGGGCAGGGTCATAGAGGCTGCAGGGGGAGAGTCCGGGATGAGGAATAGAACCCAGGCATCCGGGATTGGGACCCACAGAGCTCCCAGAGTCCAGGGCAGTGAACGGGACCCAGGTGTCCGGGATGGCATCACTCTAAGCCCCCCCGGCCCCGGGTGTGATTGGATAAGACCCTGGAGTCTGGGTCAGCAGTGCCCCCAGCTCTATGAGGAGAGATTGGATGGGACCCAGGCATCCGGGACGACCCCCCCCCGCCACCACCGGGGAGTGATTGGATGGGACCCAAGTGTCCGGGATGCCCCCCTTCCCCCATCACCTCTGGAAGCAGTGCCCGGCTGACAGCACCCACTGGTGGGCGACGAGTGACACCTCCCCACTCACGGGAGTCCAGGAGGGGCAGGCTGACCTGCCACGGCCACGCTCCCCCCATGGCCCCCCTGACCCCCCCATGATCCGGCGCGAGGGGGAGGGGCTGCGGGGAGACCAGAGACTGGGATGAGGGGCAGCCAGCCGGGGACCTGAGAAAAGCCGGGGGAGGGAGGGGGGAGGGAAGGGGATCAAGGGAGGGGTCAGATACTCTCCTGGGTCAGGCAACGGGGGCAGGGAACTGAGGTTAAATAGAACAGGATTAGCAGGGAGGCGGGAGGCCGGGCTAGATGGGCCCATTGCTCCTGTCCAGCCCCCAGCTCTGCAGGTGCCCCTCAGTCCTGACCCGCAGCCCCCTGCTAGCCCAGTCCTGGGCTCCCCCCCCCCCCGGCTCTGCCAGTGCCCCTCAGCCCCGACCCGCAGCCCCCTGGGGCATGTAGGGACACAGGCCAGGCTCACAGCTGAGGCTCGCCGGAGCGGTTGGCCGAGGCCCCGTGTCTCCACGACCCTCGTGCAGTGAGCTCATCCCTCAAGCGGTCGCTTTGGCTGCTGGGCCTGGGCGGGAGCCAGGTATAACCGCAGCGAGCCAGGGAACTACAGCTGTCTAGACACGTCTGGTGGGTCCCGGTGGGGCGAGGGGAGGGGGAGTGGGCTGGGAGCCAGGACTCCTGGGTTCTCTCCCCGGCTCTGGGAGGGGAGTGGGGGTTGGTGGGTTGGAGCAGGCGGGGCTGGGAGCCAGGACTCCTGGGTTTTCCCCCCGGCTCTGGGAGGGGAGTGGGGGCTGGTGGGTTAGAGCAGGCGGGGCTGGGAGCCAGGACTCCTGGGTTCTCCCCCCGGCTCTGGGAGGGGAGTGGGGGCTGGTGGGTTAGAGCAGACGGGGCTGGGAGCCAGGACTCCTGGGTTCTCCCCCGGCTCTGGGAGGGGAGTGGGGGCTGGTGGGTTAGAGCAGACGGGGCTGGGAGCCAGGACTCCTGGGTTCTCCCCCCGGCTCTGGGAGGGGAGTGGGGGCTCGCGGGTTAGAGCGGGGGCTGGGAGGGACTCTCCGACCGAGAAGAACAGCAAAGAGGAGCTGGGCTCCCGTCCCGGGGCCAGGCAGCGTCTTGCGGTCGGTGCCCTGGATTCCCGGCCCCGGGGCCAGCAGCAGGTGCCGAGGCCGAAGGTTCAGACACCGACTGGCTGCTCTGAGGCCTGCCCCGTCCCAGATCTGCCGGGCCCTGCTCTCCTGGGGCTGCGCCCCCTCTGCCACCGGGCCCCCCCACCCCGCAGTGAGGCTGGGAGCCAGGACGCCTGGGTTCTCTCCGCAGCTCTGAGAGGGGAGTGGGGGCTAGTGGGTTAGAGCAGCGGGGGCTGGGAACCAGGACACCTGGGTTCTATCCCCAGCTCTGGGAGGGGAATGGGGGCTGGTGGGTTAGAGCAGCGGGGGCTGGGAACCAGGACGCCTGGGTTCTATCCCCAGCTCTGGGAGGGGAATGGGGGCTGGTGGGTTAGAGCAGCGGGGGCTGGGAACCAGGACGCCTGGGTTCTATCCCCAGCTCTGGGAGGGGAATGGGGGCTGGTGGGTTAGAGCAGCGGGGGCTGGGAACCAGGACGCCTGGGTTCTATCCCCAGCTCTGAGAGGGGAGTGGGGGCGGGTTAGCCAAGGGCGGACTGGGAACCAGGATGCCTGGGTTCTCTCCCCAGGTCTGCCCATATGGGCACCTTCTCCTACAACACCCTCCTGTCACTCCTAAGGTAGCGGGCGTATTCGGAGAGCCTCTCGTGCGTGGCTGTTTCCCAGCAGGGCTCTGTGTCCAGTCGGGCCCAGCCAGCGGCCGGGCGGGGGGGTCTGGTACGTGTGGAGGGATTAGCCGGGGCTTCTGGGATCTAGAAGCGGGGGGGGGGGCACAAGGGCTGGAAAGTCAAGCAAGGAACCTGAGACATGAGTCAAGAGGGGGGGGAGGAAAATCTAGGTCTGGTCTGGGGGGACTGGCTGGCTCAGGGGGGCAGGGAATGGGACATGGGGGCTTCCCCCTCTAGGGGGCGCCAGCTCTGATCAAGCCCCAGGGCACGGGATTGGCTGGCTCATCGGGGGGTGGGGAATGGGACACAGGGCCACTAGGGGGCGCCGGCTCTGAGGGGGCCGCCTCCGTTTGCGGACTGTGGCTATTTGCCTTTCGCCGTGGTTAGTTCCACCCAGCTCCGCTCTCCGGTGCACGGGGAAGTCGGGGGGTGTCCCATGAGTCACCCCAGGGAGCGAGCGCGTGTGTGGAGCAGGTTCACGCCGGTGCGAGGGGCTTCCCGGTTCTTTGGTCTCTTCCCTCTGGCTTCGCCTGCTCTAGGGCAGACCAGACGGGCGTTTGAGCAGCGCCTAGCGCTGGGATCTAGCGCCCCCTGGAGGGGACGGGCCCCATGTCCCATGCCCTGCCCCCCGAGCAGGTCAGTCCCCTTCCCCCAGTTGGAGTGAGACTTTTTTGGCTGGCGGGAGGATGGCATGGAGGGGGGGGGCAGGGCTCTGAGCCCCACGACACCACTGGGGGTAGGGAAGGGAGCGGCGCCATGCAGTGCATTGTGGGCTGCTAGCGACGGTCCCCTGGATGTGGCTGCCCAGCAAGGGCTGCTGGGAGGTTTGCAGTGCATTGTGGGAGGCTCGCAATGCGGCCCTGTTCAGGGCAAGGCAGCAAAGGCTGCTGGGTAATGTGCGGCGCGGTGTGGGACGAAGCCCCGTAGCCAATGCCCAGGTGCATTGTGGGAGGCTAGCGATGCTCGCCTGGGAATGGGGCTTTGTAGCTAGGGCTGCTGGGTAATTTGCAATGCATTGTGGGACCAAGCCCAGCCCCCCTTTCTCAGGGGTGCAGACACAAGGACACACGTGCAGCAAAGCATTGTGGGATAGTGGTGATGCCTCTCCAGAGAGCTCCCTGCGGAAAGGGTTGCTGGGTAGTTTGCAATGCATTGTGGGACAAAGTCTGTCCCAGGCCCCTCTGGGACTGGGCAGCGGGAAAGGCAGGATCGAGACTTGTGACTCTCTCTGCTGCCTTCAGCCCCCCAGCCCTGGGCCATCCCCCTGTCCCCCTCTCCCTGCCCTGGCTAACATGTCTTTGAGCCCCCTAACCCTGACATGGGGTTCCAGTGGGGGCAGGGAGCGAGGGGATGGGACCCAGGCGTCCGGGATGGGAGTGCCCCCTGCCCCCTCAGGGAGCGAGGGGATGGGACCCAGGCGTCCGGGATGGGAGTGCCCCCTGCCGAGGGGATGGGACCCAGGCGTCCGGGATGGGAGTGCCCCCTGCCCCCTCAGGGAGCGAGGGGATGGGACCCAGGCGTCCGGGATGGGAGTGCCCCCTGCCGAGGGGATGGGACCCAGGCGTCCGGGATGGGAGTGCCCCCTGCCCCCTCTGGGAATAAGGGGATGGGACCCAGGCGTCCGGGAAGGCAGTGCCCTCAGCCCCATCAGGGAGCGACAGGATGGGACCCAGGCATCTGGAGCGTCAGTGCCCCCAGGATCCCCCACCCCCCAGTGCAGGCCTGAACTGAGACAAGGTGTCACGCCAAGACCTGTTGGGGGAGGGGAGAGTATCGGGGGTGGAATAAGGACGGGGGGACCCCCCGTGTTCTGGCAGGGATCGGGGTTAGGGTCACCCCGGGCATCCTCCCCTCACCCGCATCCTGCAAAGAGCCAGAGAGGAGCCTCAAGGAACGGAGTTTTATTAGGAGACAGAGAGTGGGGCACAAGGGGGCAGCAGCCAGCCTCTTGGGTGGGTGCCCCCCACTCCTGCCCCGTAGCCCCCTGCCAGTCCCGCCCTGGGCTTCCCCCTTCCCGCAGCCGGTGCCTCCCACTCCCGCCCCGCAGCCCCCTGCCAGCCCCGCCCTGGGCTTCCCCCTTCTCGCCGCCGGTGCCCCCCACTCCCGCCCTGCAGCCCCCTGCCAGCCCCGCCCTGGACTTCCCCCTTCTCGCCGCCGGTGCCCCCCACTCCCGCCCCGCAGCCCCCTGCTGCCCCTCCTCCGACCCCTGAGACCGGACCGGTCTTGCGGCACCGGTTCACCCAAGCCAGGATTCGAACTCACGTCCCCAGTCCGATATAATAAAAGCCCGTTTCCCCACAGCACCCTGCTCCTCCGGGCTCTATCCTGCTCCCCCCCCGACCCCGTTTCGCCCACCCCCCACCCCCCAATCCCTTCCCCCGAACTCCACCGGGCTCCCTGGGCCCCGCTCCCGGCGAGAGGGCCGGGGGGAGGGGGGGGAGGCGGCTCAGATGCGCCGGATCTTCATCTCGCTCTTGCGGAGCGAGTAGTAGAAGCCTTTCCACTGGGCCCAGTTGAGGCCGTTGGCGTAGGAGAGGTGGGCCCCCCCCAGGTAGAAGCCGTTGAGGTTGGAGAAGTGGCAGCTTTTGAACCACCAGGCACCAGAGGAGAGGGCCGCACAGTTTTGCACGTACAGGTCTTGGTCGCGGTCGAAGGTGGAGAACTTCTGCCCGGTGTGGTAGGACAAGGAGTCGCCTGGATGGGGGAGAGGGGACGGGTTAGACGGGGCGTCTCCATCTCGGCTGGGGGAGCGGCCGGCCGGGGACCACCCTGCCCTGGGTGGTTTTTGGCTGGCGAGAGGGTCATTAAGGAGGGCCCCGGGGATGCTCCCCGGCCTCGGTTGGCTGTGGGATTGCGCTCACAGGGCAGCGGGGATGGGGGTGGGCTGGGGCAGGGCGGGGGCGGGGGGCCGCGTCAGGGCTCTGAGTGTCGGGATGACAAGCCCCAGCACTAAGAGGCAGCCACCTCTGGGGTAGGGCAGCTGGGGAACAGCTGCACATGACGCTTTCCAGAGATGGCTCACTCGGGGCTGAGATGCAGCCACCTCTGGGGCAGGGCAGGTGGAGGTTGATTCAGAGGAGACTAACATTGACTCCCTCATCAGTGCAGGAACTCCTGGGTTCTGTCCCCAGCTCTGGGAGAGGAGTGGGGTCTAGGGATTAGAGCGTGTGGGGGCTGGGAGCCAGGACTCCTGGGTTCTATCCCCGGCTCTGGGAGGGGAGTGGGGTCTAGGGGTTAGAGCGTGTGGGGGCTGGGAGCCAGGACTCCTGGGTTCTGTCCCCAGCTCTGGGAGAGGAGTGGGGTCTAGGGGTTAGAGCGTGTGGGGGCTGGGAGCCAGGACTCCTGGGTTCTGTCCCCAGCTCTGGGAGAGGAGTGGGGGCTAGGGGTTAGAGCGTGTGGGAGCTGCGAGCCAGGACTCCTGGGTTCTGTCCCCAGCTCTGGGAGAGGAGTGGGGTCTAGGGGTTAGAGCGTGTGGGGGCTGGGAGCCAGGACTCCTGGGTTCTGTCCCTGGCTCTGGGAGGGGAGTGGGGGCTAGTGGTTTAAATGAGGGAGGTGGGGATCAGGAACCCTGGGTTCAGTCATTGCCTGCAAGAGGGGCATGGGGTTCGGTGGGCCACATGCCTGGACAGCTGGGTTCTCTCACCTGCCCCGCCATCGGTGAAGCTCCCCACGTGCAGGGTGTAGCCGTCCTCCTCGGCGCTGATAGCATGGGGCGACAGGGAGAAATCCATGTACTTGGCCCAGGCCGTGTTGTTCTCAAAGTCCTCCAGGTCCACCCGCAGCTCGTACTTCCGCTTCAGGGTCAGGAGGTAGATGTTCTGCAGGCCTGCGGGGCAGGGCAGGGCGGGGAGCACGTGTGAGGATCCAGCAGGGAAAGAGTTAACCTGGAGGGTGGGGGAAGGGGGGTGTATGTGTATTGGGGGGCTGCTGTCCACCAGAGCATCTGGCCTGGGTGGCTTTTGGGGCTGGAACAGGGAAGCCGGGGACAGAAGAGAAGGAAGAGAATGGGAATGGGGGTGAATAGATGGAGGGGTATTTGGGGATGGATGGATGGATGAAGGAGTGTGTAGGGATGGCTGGCTGGCTGTGTGGGGGGTGGATGGGTGGATGGAGGGGTGTGTAGCTGGGGGTGGATGGATGGATAGAGGGGAGCAGGTGGGCGTGGATGGATGGATGGATAAAGAGATATGTGGGGGTGGATGGATGCATGGATGGATGGATAGAGGGGTGTGTACGTGAGGGTGGATGGATGAATGAAAAGATATGTGGGGGTGAGTGGATGGGTGGGGGTGGATGGATGAAAGGAGGGGTTTTGGGGGTGGATAGATGGATGGATAGAGGGGCGTGTGGGGATGGGTGGATGGATGGATAGAGGGGTGTGTGGGGGTGGATGGATGGATGGGTAAATAGGTATGGGGGTGGATGGATGGATGGGTGTGTGGGGCTGGCTGGCTGGAGGGGTGTGTAGGTGAGGGAGGGTGGATGGATGGATGAAGAGATATGTGGGGGTGGGTGGATGGGTGGGGGCGTGTGGGGGTGGATGGTAGGTTAGATGAGGTGGGGGTGGATGGATGAAAGGAGGGGTTTTGGGGGTGGATAGATGGATGGATGGATAGAGGGGCGTGTGGGGATGGGTGGATGGATGGATAGAGGGGCGTGTGGGGATGGGTGGATGGATGGATAGAGGGGTGTGTGGGGGTGGATGGATGGATGGGTAAAGAGGTATGGGGGTGGATGGATGGATGGGTGTGTGGGGCTGGCTGGCTGGAGGGGTGTGTAGGTGAGGGAGGGTGGATGGATGGATGAAGAGATATGTGGGGGTGGGTGGATGGGTGGGGGCGTGTGGGGGTGGATGGTAGGTTAGATGAGGTGGGGGTGGATGGATGAAAGGAGGGGTTTTGGGGGTGGATAGATGGATGGATGGATAGAGGGGCGTGTGGGGATGGGTGGATGGATGGATAGAGGGGCGTGTGGGGATAGATGGATGGATGGATAGAGGGGTGTGTGGGGGTGGATGGATGGATGGGTAAAGAGGTATGGGGGTGGATGGATGGATGGGTGTGTGGGGCTGGCTGGCTGGAGGGGTGTGTAGGTGAGGGAGGGTGGATGGATGGATGAAGAGATATGTGGGGGTGGGTGGATGGGTGGGGGCGTGTGGGGGTGGATGGTAGGTTAGATGAGATGGGGGTGGATGGATGAAAGGAGGGGTTTTGGGGGTGGATAGATGGATGGATGGATAGAGGGGCGTGTGGGGATGGGTGGATGGATGGATAGAGGGGTGTGTGGGGGTGGATGGATGGATGGGTAAAGAGGTATGGGGGTGGATGGATGGATGGGTGTGTGGGGCTGGCTGGCTGGAGGGGTGTGTAGGTGAGGGAGGGTGGATGGATGGATGAAGAGATATGTGGGGGTGGGTGGATGGGTGGGGGCGTGTGGGGGTGGATGGTAGGTTAGATGAGATGGGGGTGGATGGATGAAAGGAGGGGTTTTGGGGGTGGATAGATGGATGGATGGATAGAGGGGCGTGTGGGGATGGGTGGATGGATGGGTAGAGAGGTGTGTGGGGGTGGATGGATGGATGGGTAAAGAGGTATGGGGGTGGATGGATGGATGGATGGGTGTGTGGGGCTGGCTGGCTGGAGGGGTGTGTAGGTGAGGGAGGGTGGATGGATGGATGAAGAGATATGTGGGGGTGGGTGGATGGGTGGGGGCGTGTGGGGGTGGATGGTAGGTTAGATGAGATGGGGGTAGATGGATGAAAGGAGGGGTTTTGGGGGTGGATAGATGGATGGATGGATAGAGGGGCGTGTGGGGATGGGTGGATGGATGGATAGAGGGGTGTGTGGGGGTGGATGGATGGATGGGTGTGTGGGGCTGGCTGGCTGGAGGGGTGTGTAGGTGAGGGAGGGTGGATGGATGGATGAAGAGATATGTGGGGGTGGGTGGATGGGTGGGGGCGTGTGGGGGTGGATGGTAGGTTAGATGAGGTGGGGGTGGACAGGCACAGAGAGATGGATGGATGGAGGGGCGGCGTGGCAGAGGCTAGGACTGGTAGGATGAGCGGGTGGCGGGAGGTTGGCCCAGGTGGCTGTGGGGCCGGGGCCCCTGTCCCATCACCTACCCAGCCAGTATTCGCTGTCGGCCCTGCCGAACCCGAACCGATAGTCGTTCCAGCCCCGGAAGAAGCTGACCGAGCCGTTGAAGCGCTTCTGGAAGACCTGGCGGCATGATGGAGAGAGAGCGGGGTCAGACCCCCGGGGCAGGGGCTTTGGCTTAGGGCCGGCAGCACGTCCCTTATGGCCTGAAACCTCTATGGATAATGGATCTAGGGGCTGAGCCAATCAGGGACAGAGCTCTCCAGTGGGGAGTGGGGCAGGGGACCCACCCGGGACTCCTGGGTTCTATCCCCGGCTCTGGGAGGGGAGAGGGGTCTGGTGGTTAGAGCGGGGCAGGGGGCACACCCCTGGCTCTTAACGATGCTACGCACCGTCCACTTCCCGTCGTCCGTGGTCATGTCGCAGTAGACCGGCACGGGGATGTTGGGGCCAGCCGGGTAGATCAGATAGACGCCGTCCGTCTCTGATCCCTGGTCGTAGACATCCTCACAGTCCAGGGGAAAGGATTCGTCCGCACACAACTTCTGCTGAGCTGCCCAGCGGAGAGAGCATTAGCCAGACCCTGCCCCTGTTCCCCGATGTGTCCTGCGCTGGGGTCGAATTCTCCACCTCTGCCTCTAGCAGCCCCACATTGCTCTTCTAGGGGGCAGCAGCCACCTCCTGGCCCTCTATGCCCCACCCAGCGACTAGCGGGTGACAGGGCAGGATACGCACAGCGGGGAACGGGCTTGGGGTGGGACTTACCTTGAGCGTTGATGGCTTGGCCATCGGTCATGGGCGCCCACGCCAGGAGGAAGAGAAGCAGTGGGAAATGGACCAGCGAGGACGCCTGTAGCAGCCGGAGAGAGAGAGACACCGAGTGAGGAAGGGACCTTCATCTAGAGTAAAAATGGGGGACCCCAGAGTCAGACCCTCTCCCTGCTCTGAGATCACGGGGTTCAGAGCCCCAGATTCCCCTCCTCCCCATAGAGATTTAATGTATAGTCCCACAAAGCTTTTGGCCTGGGAATTGGTGATGTTTGGGGGCTCACCCAGACCAGTAAGACCCTGGGACCTTTCTTCTCTGGTTCATCCCCTCCAGAAGGAGTGAAACCTGCCCCCAGGTCTCAGTCCACTTGGGTCACTCACTGCACGAAGCTTCGTCACATATACCCCTGCATCCGCGCATTGCCATCACCCGGCTACAGAGCTCCGCACGACCCTTCGGTTCCGAACGTGACGCGCTCCCATAAAAGACCCACTGGGCATCCATTGATGTGGTATACAAGCAGCTGACTCTGTTGCTTATTCTGGGGGGTCCTGTTCGCCCCTTGAGGTGGCTGGACTCTGACTTTCACAGAATGGCCTCACTTAAATTCACAGTTTCCAAATGTTCACTTCCCAATGGTTCATTCCCCTCCCTGCGAAAAATTGATGCTTTATTTCCCGTCGGAATTTGTCGAGCTTCAACTTCCAGCCATTGGATTGTGGTAGATCTTTCTCTGCTAGATTGAAGAGCCCATTAATAAATACCTGTTCCCGATGTCGGTATTTATGGACCGGGATCAAGTCACCCGTGGACCTTCTCTTTGCTAAGCTACATAGATTGAGCTCCTGGAGTCTCTCACTATTAAGGATGGTTTCTAAACCATTCGTCAATCCCATGGCTCTTCTCTGACCCATCCTTCTTGGATTGTGGGCACCAGAACCGGATGCAGTGGTCGCACCAGGGCCAAATATAAAGGTCAAATAACTAGGGCTGTCGATTAATGGCAGTTAACTCAAGTGATCAACTCAAAAAAATGAGTTAAATGTTAAATGTGTTAAATGAATTAAAAATATCAGTTGGGATTAATCACACTGTTAAACAATAGAATACCCATTGAGCTTTATTGCATATTTTTGGATGTTTTTCTACATTTTCAAATATATTGATTTCAGTTACAATAAAGAATACAAAGTGTACAGGGCTCACTTTATATTATTATTTTTGATTACGAATATTTGCACTGTAAAAATGATAAACAAAAGAAACAGTATTTTTCCGTTCACCTCATACGAGTACTGAAGTGCGATCTCTTTATCGTGAAAGTGCAATTTACAAATGTAGATTTTGTTTGTTATATAACTGCACTCAAAAACAAAGCAATGGAAAACTTCACAGCCTACAAGTCCACTCAGTCCTACTTCTTGGTCAGCCAATCGCTCAGACAAACAAGTTAGTTTCCATTGATGGGAGATAATGCTGCCGGCTTATTATTTGCAATGTCACCTGAAAGTGAGATCAGGCATTCGCATGGCACTGTTGTAGCCAGCATTGCAAGGTATTTACGTGCCAGATACACTAAACGTTCGTATGTCCCTTCATGCTTTGGCCACCATTCCAGAGGACATGCTTCCATGCTGATGATGCTCGTTAAAAAAATAATGCATTAATTAAATTTGTGACTGAACTCCTTGCGGGAGAGTTGTTGGTCTCCTGCTCTATTTTACCCATGAAGTATTCTGCCATATTTCATGTTAAAGCAGTCTCGGATGATGACCCAGCACATGTGGTTTGTTTTAAGAACACTTTCACTTCAGATTTGACAGAAAACGCAAAGAAGGTACCAATGTGAGATTTCTAAAGATCGCTACAGCACTTGCCCCAAGGTTTAAGAATCTGAAGTGCCTTCCAAAATCAGAGAGGGACGAGGTGTGGAACAGGCTTTCAGAAGTGTTAAAAGAGCAACACTCCTATGTGGAAATTACAAAACCTGAATGACCAAAAAATAGATAGATAGATGGAGGGGGTTATGGGATAGATAGAAGGAGATTATGGGTGTAGCTAGGTAGATAGATAAAAAAGGGGTTATGTGATAGGTAGAGAGAAGGGGATTATGGGGCTAGATAGGTAGAAAGAAGGGGGTTATGGGATAGGTAGATGGAAGGGAGTTATGGGATAGGTAGAGAGAAGGGGGTTATGGGGCTAGACAGATAAAGAGTAGGGGGTTATGGGATAGGTAGATGGAAGGGGTTATGGGATAGGCAGATGGGAGGGGGTTATGGGATAGGTAGAGAGAAGGGGGTTATGGGATAGATAAAGAGAAGGGGGTTATAGGATAGGTAGACAAGAGGGGGTTATGGAATAGGTAGACAGAAGGGGGTAGAGAGAAGGGGGTTATGGGATAGGTAGATGGGAGGGGGTTATGGGATAGATAAAGAGAAGAGGGTTATGGGATAGGTAGATGGAAGGGGTTATGGGATAGGTAGATGGGAGGGGGTTATGGGATAGGTAGATGGGAGGGGGTTATGGGATAGGTAAATGGGAAGGGGTTATGGGATAGGTAAAGAGAAGGGGGTTATGGGATAGGTAAATGGGAAGGGGTTATGGGATAGGTAGACGGGAGGGGGTTTTGGGATAGATAAAGAGAAGAGGGTTATGGGATAGGTAGACGGGAGGGGGTTATGGGATAGGTAGACAGGAGGGGGTTATGGGATAAATAAAGAGAAGGGGGTTATGGGATAGGTAGATGGGAGGGGGTTATGGGATAGATAAAGAGAAGGGGGTCATGGGATAGGTAGACTGGAGGGGGTTATGGGATAGGTAAAGAGAAGGGGGCTATGGGATAGCTCGGCGGACAGACAGGGGTCCGCGTGGGGGTGGCGAGACGGAAAGGGCGAGAAGCGGGGTGGGTGGGTCTGGAGATCACGAGCTAGCCCTGGAGGGGATGGTTGGCCGGACAAGGAGCGTTTCGAGCAGTTGCTACCAGCCAGAGCCGAGACAGACCCATCTGCCGAGGCAGAGCGCTTGTGCGATCCCACACACGGCGCGGCCTGGCTCTGTTCTCAGTTAGCTCCCTCGGCCCCCTACTTTCCAGCCCGGCCCCCCCCCAGCATCCCGGGTGCAAGTTACCTCCATGGTGCTGGGTGCTTCCTGTCGTCTGTCCCAGCCCGCAGCCCCTGACTTGTCTGGCCGGAGCTGACCTGGATCACAGCTCGCTCGGCTCCCGTCTTCCCGTGTTTTCCGCTCGGCTCCCCGCCCCCCAGACACCCCCAAAGGCAGGGGATCAGCTGACAGGCTATAAATCGCGGCACAGGGGCTGTGTGTAAACACAACATCTGGCAGGAAATGAAAGGGGGGGGGGAATCGCAGCCGTGGCCTGAGCTAAGGACACCCACGCCCTCCGGGCGGCTTGGCACGAACATAGTGTTCACCGTTCACAAGCTCACGTGTGAACGGGCCGGGGCCTGGGCCAGCGGGGGCGGAGACAGAGGCGCCTTTTGGGGACTGCAGGGGTCAGCTGGGAGCCAGGACTCCTGGGTTCTCTCCCAGCTCTGGGAGGGGAGTGGGGTCTAGTGGGTTAGAGCAGCGGGGGCGGGGCTGGGAGCTGGGACTCCTGGGTTCTCTCCCCAGTTCTGGGAGGGGAGTGGGGTCTAGTGGGTTACAGCAGGGGCCTAGTAGCCAGGACTCCTGGGTTCTCTCCCAGCTCTGGGAGGGGAGTGGGGTCTAGTGGGTTAGAACGGGGGGGCTGGGAGCCAGGACTCCTGGGTTCTCTCCCAGCTCTGGGAGGGAAGTGGGGTTTAGTGCATTGTGGGAGGGGGGCTGGGAGCCAGGACTCCCGGATTCTATTCGTCAAGGGAGGATACGAAAGCATAGCCCCTATAGGGTTAAACTGCCGCTCTGGTTTTAATATAGCCTTCAGCTCAACCATGAGAGTGGGCAGCGTCTGGCTTAAGGACAAGCTCACCAAGGGCTGGAAGTAACCCAGCGGGGTCCTGTCTGAACCAACCCACCCCCGCCCCTTGCCTCCCCTCCAACACCTCCGGGCCTTGCAGGGAAAGCGGAAGGGGGAAGGGGGGGGGGGGAATGTCTGTGGCTCACATCCAGATGTGAACAGCTGCACGTGTTCCCTTCTAGTACTCTTTGCATCCCCGACCCGGATCAGCAGCAGGGAACTGGCCAGGACCCAGGGGATCCTGAAGTCCCTTCTCCAGGAAGGGAATATTGGGCCAGCCCTAGAATGAGGCCTTCAGCTTGTCCCCCAGCTGCCATAAATATGCCCCACCAGGGCCCACCTCCCCCACCCCCCTTCCACACCCAGGGCAGGATTGTCCTGGGCCCATCTGCTCCCCAACGGAGACTCCCCATCTAGGCTGCGTTGCACGCCCCATGTCTGCTTGCTCTGTGTTGTGGCTACTGTGGAAACTGGACCAATGTTAAGGGCAGCCCCCAGAAACCAAAGCAGGCGTCCCCTGCCCCTCACCGCTTTCTCCCGAACATCTGGAACAGACGCCTCCCAGCTGCACTTCATTTCCCTCGCTTATTAGCTCAGAGAGGCCGCATTTGGGATGAAAGGAGTTTATTGGCTTAGAGAGAAGAATCCAGGCCTGAGCGTATCCAGAATGCCTGTTGGACACGTTTAACAACATAAGAGGCTTGCGAGCCGCGGCTGGTGGCTCGGAGGTGGGCTCCGAGGGTGGAGAAACAACTCGGTTCCTCTCTATGAACAATTCACTTGGAGGTGCCAATCACGGGAGTGGTGGGCGGGACGGGGTCGCAAGAGGTCATCTCGTTCGGTCCCACCACGCTGAGGCAGGACCAAGTCAACCTAGACCCTCCCCGGCAGGTGTTTGCCCAATCTGTTCTTAAAAACCTCCAGTGATGGGGCCTCCCCCACTTCCCCAGGGAGCCCGTTCCAGCACTGAACTAGCCTTAGATCTGGAAAGTTTTTCCTGATATCCAACCCTTGCTGCAAACTGAGACAGTTCCTTTGTCCACCCCTTAGTGGAGTTGGAGGCCCAATCAATGGTGACGAGCCATTGGCTTCTCTGGCGTTCGGCTCAGACTCCTAGGCCCAGATCTTGAAAAGGTATCAAGGTGCCTAGATCCCATTGAAATTCAGCTCCCTGGAGGATCTGGGCCTTTGTTAAACAAGTGGTGAGAAGGGTCTGGATCGGCACTCAGCGAGGGAAGATTCATTTGTCCCCATTATCTTTTGCCACGTTTGGAACCTTCTGAGAACGTCAATCCAAGGATGTGGAGTTTATAAACTTCATTTAAGAATGCAAACTCCCTGAGACTAATCTCTCTGGCCCAAGGGTCCCAGAAATTCTGCCTGCAGGGTCACCACGCCTTGTCCAACCAGCTAGGTCGAAGGAGTTTATGAACAGTAGTTGAGAAGGTCACGTTTCCCCACTGGCAGAGCCGTCAGAGTTTGCAACCTCCATCTGCTAAACATCTCTGGACCAAAGAAATCATACGCTCCAGAGGCAAAATATCAGAATGCTGCATTGTCTTCCGTGTGACTGAAACAACCTACCGCATCTCTGATAGCGAAATATTCGCTCCATCAGAAGAAGAATAACCAACGGCATCAAGTCTTTGTAGATCACAAAACCGAAGGAAATTCCCAGACAAAAAAACTTTGTTAAAGCCGTAACCAATTCACTTACAAAACATCTGCAAGGCCTGAAATAGTTAAAGTAACAATAAAGTTAAATGTTTGAAATACCGGGAAACTCCTACCGTTTCCACAAATACCCGTAATGCTGGCATGTTTATCGACACACCTCTATTTATCCATCAATGTCGTGTCCAGCTACCAGACGACTCCCGTATATCAAAATATCTGAGTGGAAGCTCATTCACAGTTTTCAGTCGTTAGTGGAAACACCACAAAGCTACACAGATTATCTCAGTACTTAAATATCTGTGGTTTATGATTTTTAGATCTAATTCATGCGAGAAATGCCATCAATTAATCCATCGTAAATATAAACCTGCAAATATCCCCTCAAATTTATATAGGGGGTCATTCGACCTAGGGAAAGAGACTTCCACTTCAAATTGGCCATAACAGCAAAGAAAATTCTTATTCTTATGGGTTGTAACTCAGATTGCTGGTTGAAAGACGGTGGTGGTGGAAGAGGAGAATTGAAAACATTTTTATTTATTTATGTCGGTATTTTTCCTATCACTTCCCTCATCTAAATTTGCAATTTTCAACATTTGCAACTTTCAAATTTTCAGCGTTTCCAAACTCAGGTCCCCTCTCAGTCTTTGTTTTTCTAGGCGAAAAAAGACAATCTCTCTGAGTCTCTTCCCATAAGATCGGCTTCCCGATCCCCTGACTGTCCCCAAAGACCTTTTCTGCCCCTGTCCAACTCTGAATCCCACTGTCTTTAACGCGAATGCACAGAACCAAGCACACCCAGAACTGAGATGAGGTCTTCCCCGGGCCTTAATACCTCCCAATCGTTCCCTGGTCAAAATCAGAAATGTTGACATGTTGTCGTCAAATTAGAAACATTCAAAACATTTTTGATTAGCTTCACCCTCAGCCCAAACCTCTGCGACTCCTCCCAAGTTATCTCAACCACCCTGCAAAAACAGACGCTGATTATCGGGCCCTGTGCATTTATGACCTCTTGAAATGATCAGCAAAGGTTGTTTTGTTCCATCTTAAACTCCCTAGTCCTAAATATATACATGAAGATAGAGACCTAGAACAACTGGTTGACCCCCTCGTGCCTACGGCACCCTTGCTGTAGTTGCAGAGAAATATACACACGTTTACAGTGTTTCACAAAGTTTTTTGTCTGGGAATTTCCTTAGTTTTTAAACTTTTAAAATATTTTCCCAAAGGGAATGCTAAAACCCAGGGCCTTTAGGTAGCCAACACTGGGGAGACTGGACCAGAGATATAGATTCCTTCTTCCTTTTCCTTCTAGCTTGATAGAGGAGTGGGGGAATTCTCTCTTTTTCTCTGTCCACCCCCCTTGGTTTTAAATCACATACAGCAGGCAGGTCAAGAGCAGCAGGGTGCTGGCAACGACAGAGGCAGCCTGGCTGGGCCAGCCAGCATCAGGGTGCTTTTGCCCCTTGGGGTCTGCCACAGCACGGGATTCCCGGCCTTTGGGCTCCTTGACAAACTCCAGATTGGGGATGTATTCCCGGATCCAGCTTTGGTAGGAGGTGAGGCGACTGTAGACCCCGGGGGCGGTTTTTGATGGCGCAGCCCTCGCCCCAGCTGACGACTCCGGCCAGCACCCAGACATCACCCAGAATGCACGCCATAGGGCCGCCAGAGTCACCCTGCAGAGCAGAGAGAGAGCAGGGTTAGTGCCCTAGGCGGGGAACCAGGGGTTTGCGGGGTCTATTCTGAGCTATGCCACAGACTTCCTTAATCTCAGTCGGGGTCTGTGCAATGCCTGGCACAAAGGGCCCCAATCTCAGTCAGGAGGCTCTGTGCAAATGGCAGCTCTGAAATGCAGCCACCTCTGGGGTGGGGCTTGGCAGGTGGATAACAGTGGCCCTGTGATGCTGCAAAGAGATTGCTTGCACAGAACCCAGGCCTTGTCGAGTAGCTGTGACCTGTTCTGGGATGGGACTCTGGGCCTATTCCCCCTGCCCCCCCACCCCAGCCTGCTCCCTGGGCTGACAGCCAGGACTCCTGGGTTCTCTCCCTAGCTCGGGGAGGGGGGGGGAGTGGGGGCTGTGGGTCGGATCAGGGAGGGCTGGGAACCAGGACTCCTGGGTTCTCTCCCCAGCTCTGGGAGGGGAGTGGGGGCTAGTGAGTCGGAGCAGGGAGGGCTGGGAACCAGGACTCCTGGGTTCCCTCCCCGGCTCTGGGAGGGGAGTGGGGGCTAGTGGGTCATATCAGGGAGGGCTGGGAACCAGGACTCCTGGGTTCTCTCCCCGGCTGTGGGAGGGGAGTGGAGTCTAGGGAGTTGCAGGGCTGGGGAGGAGGGGCTGGGAGCCAGGACTCCTGGGTTCTCTGGCCAGGGGGCTCACATTGCAGGCATCCTTCCTGCCCTCGGCGTAACCGGCGCAGATCATGTCAGCCTGGATATTCCTGTGGGGCAGCGTGTTCTGCATGTTGGTGAGGTACAGATTCCTGCATGTCTCGGAGTCGATGATGGGGACTCGCACCTTCTGGAGGGTCTGCGGGGAGGGCAGGTCCACTGCAAGGGGGCAGCAAGAGCTGGGGGTGAGGTGCTGGGCTCAGCCCGGTTCCCGGGGGGCAGAGCTGGACTGCCCTCCCCAGAGCACCCCGCCGTTCTGCCTTTGTCTGCTCCGGAGTTCCTTCTCCCGCGGCCCGCCCATGAAATCCAAGGCTCTTCCACGCGTTCTTCCATTCATATTCTCATTTGATCTTTCTAACCCCCCTC